GTCTAAACCTTCCAGTGCATAACAGTTACCACACAGCAGTGCCCTGCTGAGCAGATCAATGCAGTCCCTCCCCCACACCCTACTTCATGTAATTTTGCTTTTAAACCAAAGCCTCTTTTCACAAAATTTCTTGTCCACAGTTTTTTCCCACATAACGATTCCCATATAAAAATTTTAGAGTCTGAATAGTACTCTGTACTAACCTTTCTCTAAACTCATTCAGTGCAGGTCCCAAGGTCTTCCCTTCAGAGTATCCATTTCCACAAGCATGTGGGAAGTCCATGAATTCACTTTGGCGCCATCCTGTCGCCCTACCGAGCAGCAGCGTTCTGTGGGCTGCAGGGCACACTTTGAGATTCTGGTCTCAAGCTGCCATATTAACTCAGGCGTGGAGATTCCACTCAGAGCAGCTCCTTTCTGTGAAATAGAAGAGCCGGAGGCAGGTTGCCAGAGAAGGTGTTTTGAGGAAAGGATTTCCCTAGTAGCTCCTACTCTGATAGGAACAATCTCTTTTAATTAGCCCACAGGTTGGGTCTGTGAAAAGTGGGAGGAACTGAGGAATTTGCTTGGAAATGTGGAGAGTAAGAGTAACAGGAGCACAGAACAGGTCCCTCAGGGGAGCAGGCTTTGAGGGCAAGGCTTGAAAATGGGGCCCAGGCAGGACAAGCGGTGGGAGGTACAGGGAAGTGCCCTGGAATTTACTTTGACCTCTAGGACAACTGGCAGCTGGGTTCCACCAAAGAATACAATGCAACTGTTGTTAACTTGTACTTTTGCCTGTATTAATGAAGTATTTGGGTCAAGGCTTCTACAGGTTCTTCCTTATTTTTTATTTATTTATTTATTTTTTGCGGAACCAGGGATAGAACTCAGGCCCTTGCGCTTGCCAGGGAAGCGCTTATTCCACTGAGCCATCTCCCTGGCCCTCTTCCTTATTTTTGGTAACAGCTTTATCACATATAATTCATATACATACAGTTCACCCATTTCAAGTGTAAAATTCGTTAGGTTTTTTTTGTTTTTGTTTTTGTTTTGGTGGGGGGTATTTTTAGTACAGAGTCTACAGGGTCTCACTACGTAGATCTGACTCCTAGTGATCTGCCTGCATTCAGCCTCCCAAGCACTGGGATTACAGGCGTGCACCGCCACGCCCAGTCTCAATTGCTGTCTCAGCACACCCCACCCCAGTATGGGATGATGGGGATCAAAACCCAGTCCCTGCACTCTGCCTAAACAGAGGATTTAATCCACTGAGCTATTTGGCTGGCCCCATTAGATTTTGAATATTCACAGAACTGTGCAATTATCACAATCAATTTTGAAACATTTTTTATCACCTTAGAAGAAAGTTTGTACTATACTACTGGCCTTTTCCCACCAGCAACCTTCACTAAGCTACTTTCTGTCTCTATAGTATATTGTTTGTTTAGACATTTCATATAAATAGCATCATACAATATGTGATCATTTGTGATTGCTTTATTTCACTTAACATAATGCTTTCCAGTTTCATCATTATTGTGGTATTTTGGTTACTCTTCTCTCATGTCAGGGACAAAGTACTCAATACCCAAAGTTAAGGAAGAAAAGGTTTATTTAGCTCACAGTTTGTGGAGGTTTCAGTCCATACTTGGTTGGCTCCAAGGCGGAGCAGCACATGGCAGAGGGCAGCAGCTCATGGCAGCAGAAAACAGCAAAGCAGCAAGAGCAAAAAGGGAGGGACATTGGCAACAGCGGCAGCAGCAGAGGCAGAGAGCAGGCCTCTCTCCCTTCCTTATACTGCATCCAGACTATCTGTCCCAGGGCAGATGTAGCACTCACACCCATAACCCCAGCAGCCCTCGCACCTATAATCTCAGCATTGGATCATGAATTAATCACAACCTCAGTCCTGTGGCTGCATGAGGCTTTGGGGGGACAACTAGACACAAACCATAACCTGTGTCATGTATGAATGTTTCATTCTTTCTTTACTGATGAAAAAATTATATTGATGGATAGGCCACTTCTCGTTTATGTATTCATATATCTTTTGAAACTCCATGTTTAACTTTTTTTTTTTTGTACTGGAAATTGAATCCAGGGGTTTGACTCTGGTAGGCAAATCAATCCTCTATCACTGAGCTATATACCCAATTCTCTAAAAAAAAATTTTTTTTTAAATTTTGGGCTAAGAGTGGCCTCAAACTTGCGATCCTCTTGCCTCAGCCTCTTGAATAGCTCTGATTATAGGCATGTGCCACTATATTTGGTTGTAACTTTTTGAGGAATTGCTAGGCTGTTTTCTACAGTCCTCACTTTACTATTTATTTATTTATTTATTTATTTATTTATTTATTTATTTGGTGGTAGCAGGAATTGAACTGAGGACTTTGCACTTGCCAGGCAAGCACTTGTTCCACTGAGGTATCTCCCTGGCATCACTTTATTTATTTATTATTTTTGCGGAACCGGGGATTGAACTCAGGTCCTTGAGCTTGCCAGGCAAGTGCTTATTCCACTGAGCTATCTCCCCAGCCCCATCACTTTACTTTTTAAAGCCAACCTAGAATCAGTGACTGTGAATCATCTTATAAGTGTGGTTCCATACAGCTTGACCAAGGGTGACCACAGACTTATTGTGAGAAAGGGTTGAGGAGGCACACAAAAATCTCAAGCCCAAACACTAAAGGGGGTTAGGCACATAACCTTGAAAGCTACAGCAGCATTACGTAGATTTGTGTTTTTTATAATCAGAGAAAGAAACGCACAGTTATAAATGCGGCCAGTAACAACAATAGCAGCAGCAGGAGCAACAACAAAATGATAGTACAACAACCTTTCTGCTTTGAAAAAGGTTTACTGGCTATAAAATAAGCAAAGCTATGATTAGATAAAAATGGATTTTAATACCTCCTGTATCATCTACACTGGAAAACCACTTAGAAACTTCTGAGTTTTTAGAAATGCCTTCAGGATGGCCTGGGATGTAGCTCAGTGGAATAAGCACCTGCCTGGTAAGTGCAAGGTCATGAGTTTGATCCCTGGTAGCAGGGGGAAAAAAGCCTTCAGGTGTCTCGGTATAAAATACACACAGGGGCTGGGGAGATGGCTTAGTAAAATAAGCGTTTGCCTGGCAAGTGCAAGGGTCTGAGTTCAATCCCCAGTTGGGGGCGGGGGGGAGACACAGAGAGAAGCACATACATCATAAATGTAACTACACATTTTCACAGTGAAACTCACCCCTGGAATTAGCACCCACATCAAGAAGTAGATTGGCACCAGCATCTCTCCCCAACCCCCTTTCACAGTCAAAACTAACCCCCAGGGAAGGAGGATATTCTGACTGCTAACACCAACATTCTTAGACACAAGGTATGCATTTTTAATAGTATGGTTCAGGTGTCAAGAACTGGCCAATAGAATAGATTTGTTTAAAGGATGTCTCAGGGCCCGGCAGACTTCTGTATTGCATGATGAAGCATATTCTTAAAAATAAAGAGAAAAAAGTTTAAGCTTGCATATAAAATAAAGGGTATAATCTGAGCCCCCAAGAAACTTTAATTTAGCATCACTTATTCAGTAATTAAAAAAATACAGTAGTTTTTTTGAACACATGAAACAACAGACTTTATTGTTAATTTTTAAAAGACATCTGCTTTTCCTTCCCGGATCTGAAGTATATTTCAGAGAGCAGTCTCTAAAGGAAGTTCTAGAGACCATTAATCACAGGTGCTTTAATAATTCAAAAGATGTATATGTAAACATATGCACATTGGAAGTACAGCACATTGTGGTTTAAGTAATGACCAAAATAAAGCCTTCACCAGGAGAGCATAAAAACGGATACTCATTTCCGTGGTTTATTGAGCAGGATATTAAATACCCTCACCTTACCGATAAGACAAGCTTGCTCATACTGGGACTGACTGCAAATTGACACCGCTCTGTCTCGTATCTGGGAAAAAAATCCATTATAATCATCTTACGTATGATATTTTGCAGGCATTAGAATTCTTCCCAGGGAAAGGGTATACTGTTAGGGGAAATAATTTTGCAAAGACGACTCGTTTTTCTTTTTTATAAAGCTCTAAAGATGTCTCATAAATTACCAAAGCAGATTATGATTTTATTAGGCAGTTTTCTTGGAAGTTTGTGATTCCACTTTCTACCAGGAGATGCTAATAAAAGTCGTGAGTCAGAGTAAGGAGGACGGGAGTGTGTGGAAGCCCAGCCCTGTGCACTAGGTGTCTGGGGTGCTTTCTCTTGGGGATGCTCCATGCTCCGTAGATGACCTCGTCCTCTCAGTCCCGCCCAGGTGCGGGGACAGCAACCCGCCCACCCTTGGGCCCCTTTTTCTAACCCCAGCTCCCCGGCGGTTGGGCCGAACCTAGCGTGTGAGGGACCAGCTGCAGGGTGCTGGGACCCCCTTACCCTAGGGACTAGAGGGACTTGATTAGGAATTGG